CGATGGCCTCCAACCTAATAGCGATGGCCTCCAACCTAGAAGCGATGGCCTTCAACTTAAGAGCGATGACCTTTATTTGTTGAAAATTAAGTCCAAAAGGTCCTTGCGAATGGCTCGACAGGCATTGGTTGAGGTGAAGATCCTGGAGCATCTCCGGGAGCGCGACCTCGAGAGTACCTCCAATGTGCCCTGGTTGCAAAAGCCATAAAAAGAGCAAGGAGCTTAAAGGAGTTCCACGAAAGACGCGGGATGTTTTGATATGTTTTGTGGAATTATTGTGATATGAAGATGAAGTGCAAAAGACCTTTGGTCATGAAAGGGGAGCCAGATGGAGCTAGATTCTAGATTCTTCCCCTCTCCTTGGCCAGATTTTTTGTCGGACTTCGCAAACCACGTCAAGGCCTTTTGAATGCATCGGAGTGTCTCTCGTTTTGCAGGTGGTGCACATGATGGATTACTTTTACTTCAGGACTGACTTGCAAAGCCTGACCGACATACAGGAAGCAGGCTTGCTGTTCATCCATTCAACTAGCCTCACCTTAGGGAGTGAACTGACGTGACCCCAATAAAGCCGCAACAAGAGGCAGTTTTAGATACTTAAGTAGAAACGTGTTTCTTGTTGGGCTTGAATGGACGTCACTGACCTCTGCCGCCACAAAGAAGGTCTTGGAAACAAGAGCGCGCTTTTGTTCCCACGTGAGAGGAATCACTTGTGCATCACCTTTGAGCTGCTAAGTATCAACCTTTACGAGTTCATCAAGAAACTTGGCACCATACATGTAGATCATACAGAGCACACAAGCGTGAGACATGTCGGTCGTGTATGTCACTGTACATTACGTTTCTTTGTGGTTCTGAATCGGTTCGCTTATTCCAGGACATTCCAAAGATGGATCCCCCAACCAAGACAATGTAGAACCTTCCTCCACTCAAGATTGCATCAACTGGACATGCCATCCGTGCTTGTAATTTGCATGAGTTCTGCTGAAATCCAGAGGTTCCAACGAAAAACTGGAGGACTTGTCTTGAAGAACCTCCTGCTCTGTCACCACTGAGGAACAACAACTTCCAGGGCGTCAGGATCTTACGACCCGTGATCTTCCATCATAAGACGCCAAAACAAGCGAACTGGCCATCAGTTTGACTTGAAAAGTAAAAACTCCAACTTCCAAAGAAAACGAAAAGAATGTGAATTTTGATCACCCTTACTACTAGGAGCAAGGACGCTACTACAGGCTCATGTCCTTACTACTAGGAGCATTCTTGCTACCAGGAACAAAGGGCATCGCTACGAACGGAGCGATCGGCACGACTAGTATGCTTGAAGACCGCTGGGTGGACGATCGGCTTCTCAGGTGTCCTTGGGGCTGATCCGGCGCTTCGCCATTCAGCTTTTGGCGGTGAGGGGCCGAGGGAGCAAAACGAGCATGTTTTCGCATCCGACATGTGAGCATCTGTATGGAGCGTGCCAAGTGAAGCCCCATCTGAGAAGATATCCAGATCTCAGACGAGATGCCAGATAGATTCAGATAGGTGTTATGATTTGTTTATGATTTGTTTCATGTTCCGTATTTCTGGAGGCACATGGGTGAAAGCCTTTTGTGGGGTTCGTAGGCTCTGTGAACTTGCAGGAGTCCTCACCTACAGTGCAAAAGTGGGGGGAAGACTCGGGGGGAGATCAAAAAACCTTTAAAGCCGAATGAAAAGAAGAAACTGTAGTTTCTGTTGGAGAATTGGAGAGGCCTTGCGCTTCTTGCGGAAGCAGCACATCATTCACTGCGACTTGAAGCCAGTGACGGGCTTGACTTAAAGGGTCTTGTTCTGCTGAGGAAGTCGAACGAAGTTGCTGTGTTGATCGGATTGTTTTGCAGCGTCAAGAAGCAACCGACCAAGACCCCCGTCGGTGAGTTTAGCAGTTTGTCCGAACAGAAATCCCAATGTTTGCAGACGTGTTGCAGCTGATGTTCACCCAGGAAAATGTGCTGCTCAAAAATCCCACGAAGAGTGGTATCAAGGCTCGATATAGACAGTATAAACCTGTGTTTGGGCCACGTGACCATGCAATCGCTGCGTGTTTGCTGCTTGAAAATCTGCCAGGTCATTGATTTCGGATCTTCCTGCTTCGAAGATGAACGGGTTTACACGTGCGCAGAAGTGAGGCTTTAAAGAGTTTTTGTTTCAAGTAACAAGAAACTACTAGGAGCAAGGGCATCGCTGCTAGTAACAAAGGGCATTACTGTTATTCCGACAGCCCGTCGCGGCCCGAGAGCGGTAGGAAAAAGGAGTAGACCGTTGTGTCTTTTCAGTGGTAGCGGAGCCCCGAAAAGGGGCGGTAGGCTAGTTAGACTGGTGGCCGTTTTTGTAGGCTTGAGCCATGGAGGCTGACGCTCTTGGGGCCGCGGCTGATGAGGTGGATTCGACTTCATCGCCTTCGACGGAGGAGTTGCCGATGCCGGTATTCCTCCACCGGCATCGGAGGGGGCTTCATCGAACCTCGAGGATGGTGAGCACGCCACTTCGCAATGCTCAGGCTGAGTCGGGAAGCCCGAGATCGTGGAGAACAGCGAGCGGGGAACGAAGTGGCGAGAGAGGTGATGAAGGAGCTTCCAGTGGAGAGGCGATGAGCCAGGAGTCCGATCCGTGGCTGGGTGGAGACCCTTGGCAGCGCGGACAGGAGAACTATGAGCCCAAGTATGACAACTGGTCATCTCCGAGCTCTTCGGTGAGTGGCAATGGAACATCACGGAGGAGCAGTTCGAATGACTCTTGGCAATACATTCAAGACACCTCAAGGGAGTCTCGACATGTATACTGGGCTGATGGTGGATGGAGCCAATCCCAATGGGGTGCATCCCAAGAAGATGACATGGGGAGTAGCTGGTCTTGGTCCTCTTCAGAATCAGGTTGGTCCGGGACCGGACCAAATCAGTGGGGATGGCGAGATGACCTCGCCAGAAATTGGGAGACTGATTCAGAAAGGTCAGGGACCAGCGATTGGTCATCGAGCTCTTGGAAGACAGCCCGGGAAGATGATGGACGGGCTGGTGGAGATTGGGGGCGGACTTCATCCGGCCTTCAGGGTGGACAAGAACGAGGTCCTGGTGTATGTGCAGGTGATCGGGCGGCGGCTGGGCGGCCTACGCCCGTGGGTCTACCTGCGGAACTTGGAGAAGGTCCTCAAGTTCATCATGGTGATCCTCTGCGCAGTGAGGCGAGCAGCCGGGGGGAGCATGACAAGCATGATGGCATGTCACCAATGTCACCGGCAGCTCAACCAGCTGGTGAGTGGAACCGACCCTCAGGACTGGTACCTTCGGGGCAACCATCGGTGGCGGGAGGCTCAGGTGGTGCAGTTGGGGGTTCTTTGAAGGAAGGCACCACCGGGAAGATCTCCACTACATACCCTCCCATCTTCTATGCTCGACCAGGTGAGAGTTGGGAGCAGTACTGGAGGACTGTCACCTTCTGGTTGGCTTCGGAAGGGAAGTCATTGCCGGTGGAGATGCGAGGTCCACGCCTCATGCAGCAGCTGAGGGAGCGCGCAGGCAAGATCGTTCAACACTTGACTGTGGAAGAGGTGACCTCCGAACAAGGAGTGCAACTCATCAAGCAGGAGATGGAAAAATCACCAATAATCAGGCTCCTGGACAACAAGAAGATTGACAAGAGACGCCAAAAGTTCATGAAATTGACGAGGTTGGCCAACGAGAGCATCGAGAGCTTCATCAATCGAGCAGAGATATACCGGCGGGAGAATGAGGCTTCACCCGCCTATCGAGTTGGTTCTTGCTTTTATGTTGGCCATTTGCTCGACAGCGCAAAACTGACAAGAAAGGACTTGGCGCTCTTGAAAGCGGCTTGTGGAGGTGATGTCGAAGATGAAACTAAGGTCATCTCAGCGATGTTGGAGTTGGCTGAACAATTTGAAGGAGCACCACATTGCCCGATTGGTCGTGGTGAGCCTCAATTGGATAATGAGGACCAGTACCTGATCCAGAAGCCTGGCACCTCATCTTCCTCGACCCCACCTACATCGGCTTCTGAACATACTCCACGTCGACGCCCTTTTTCACGGGGGCGGGGTGGTGGCTTTGGGCGTTTTCGCCGTGGTCGTATTCGAGACGCTCTGGTCGCCATCCTGGAGGAAGAAGATGACGGTGAAGGGGTGGCGGAGGAACTGGCTGAAGCCTTGGGGGAAGATTCGATGGATGAAGAAGAAGAGAGAGGAGAACAGGCCAGCGATCTGAATGAGTTCAACGACGTCCTAGTTGCCGGACCTACATCTGAAACTTCATCGACGGCAACACCCCTGGCGGAGATCTATGCCCAGGAGTATAAAGCCCGGAATCGAGCGCGAGAGATCAAAAAGATGAGGCAATACTTCCAGAAGGAGGCACCAGGTGGTCCAGCAGCGGCGAGGAATGAACATGTGAAGAAGTGGGTGGCCGAACAGCAGAAGAAGGAGCCCTGCTTCATTTGCCACCAGCTAGGACATTGGAGCCAAGAGTGCCCATATCGTCGCAAGGAGAAGCCAATGGTTCACTCCGCAAATGTGACTTTTCCTTCGTCACAGCCACAGCAAGAAGACTGGGCTTTACTGGAGACGTTGGTGTCAGCTGGAGTGTATATGGTGCACCACAACGGGGGGGAACCAGTCGGTGAGACCACCCATGAAATCTTTTGGGCACTGGACGAATTGGCTGGGCAACAACACTCCAAGATGATTGTTGACTTGGGATGTATGAGGACAGTGGCGGGGACTACTTGGATAAACCGAATTGTACCACAATGGAAGGAGAAGCAGTGGTTCATCAAGGTGGTCCCGGAAGCAGAACAATTTCGTTTTGGGGATGGTCAAGTGGTTCGAAGCAAGTTTGCCGTTCTGCTTGAAGTGGCGATAGCGGGCATCCATGGTGTGCTTCGTATATCGGTCGTGCATGGAACGTGTCCACCGTTACTGTCCAAACCAGTCTGTTCAGCATTGGGTCTGGTCATAGACACAGCTTCACACACAGTATCATCACGAAGGTTTGGTGTGAAGGGGTATGGCCTGGAACAATCCAAGGGTGGACACTACGTCATTCCCATCAACGATTTTGGAGACACGACGGCGAAATCGATTTCGAGTGATTTTGTGATGCAAGAGCACAAAGAGATTGTGGTGATGTCCGATCCGCGGGGCTCAGCAATTCGGGATCGGGATCCGGACGCCCCCTCCTCACCTGCTGAACTTGCCCATGTCCAATCGCCGGAAGACTGGAGATCCGGAGGTCTTCGAGCTCAGTCAGCAGGAATGGGAAAACGTGGGGCAGGACAACGAGTTGGAAGAGATGTCCGCCCAAGAGGAAGACACGACCGGGGTGGCATCCTTGAGACATCCGATGAGGACGGTGAAGCGGCAATCATTGAATCGCATGCTGCGGAAGCCAACTTCCACCAGTCCACCGGGGCGCAAGACTCTGAGCAAAATGACCAAGGGCCGGGACAGCAAGACACCGGAGCCGGATCAACCTGCTTCGAGTTCCGAGGCACAGATGAGCATGGCACAGATCCAAGCCATGATGGTGCGAATGCAGGAGATGATGATGGCTCAGGGCATGCCCAGGGAGCAGGAAGTCGAGGCAGATCAGGGGCACGATCCGGGTCAACGACATCGAGGACGCAGTCAGGAGCCCGCGAAGACCAAGGACAAGGTGAAGAAGACACCCAGGGCGGTGAGGACAGCGGCCCTGACGGGAGACGAAGCACCGTTTCCTTCTCTGTCGACTCAGTTCTCGGACGACCCCACGATGAACCTCATGATCAGCCTGCGGTCGCAGACTCTCACGTTCAAATGGAAGCTTCTCCTGCTCATGTTGAGGATCAAGCACGCGGTGGAGGTGGAGAAGCGCCGGTGGAAGCGCAATCCCAGGTGGATTATGAAGCTGCACGGCAACCACATTGCAAGTCTATGGGGCCACCTGGGAGCGGCAAGGCAGCTGTGCTATTCCCCAAAGGTGGCTTGGCTGGCACAGTGATGCAGGAGGAGACCTCGACTGCTGAACAGGAGGCTCGTCGGATGGACCGGCTCGACCTCGTCATGGGCACCCCGGGTTATGAGTCGGCGATGGACGCCCTCCATGTGGTGCCGGACTATGAGATTGTGAATGACGACGGTGGCCAGTCTGACGATGAGCAGGGTGCTTCAGCTTCGATTGAGTGGAGGAGGAGACGGGAAGGAGCAAACACACCTTGAATCGGAGACAGCGCCGGACCCTGGTTCAGGGAGTCCAGAAAGCATTGCAGACTCACTCAAAGATCTTTGACGTCCTGGACGCGAAGTCGGCTCAGATTAAAGTTTGGACTTTGTTTGAAGTCTTTGCGGGCTGCGCCCGTTTTTCTCAACGGGCAATGCACCGCCGCAATGCTTGCTGGGACGTGTTGCCCCCACAAGACATCCTGTATGGGCTGGATCTTTTGAAGGAAGATGAACTGGAGATGCTCAAGGATGTCATCAGGACCCAACGTCCAGATGTTGTCACTGTGGCTCCTCCCTGTGGCCCATGGTCTTCCTGGCAGCGGATGCGCAAACGGAAGAGTGCCTTGAGAGACCTCCGTCGCCAACATCTACCATTTTGGGATTTTGTCACTTGGCTTTGGGAGTTCCAATGTTCCACCGGGGGGTTGGTGGTGCTTGAGCAACCGGCCTCTTCTGATGCTTTGCGACTGCCGATGATGACCCGTCGCCGGCGAGTTCACCAGCGGGTAGTGCACATGTGTCGCCTGGGGATGAGAGATCAAGTGACGAACAAGCCTCACAAGAAACCAACAGTGGTGCAGATGAACCATGCGGCCATCACGACTGAGATGTTCCCTCAGCGCCTGTGTGAATGCCAACCCGGTGAACACCAGCCGATCGAAGGATCTGTCCAGGTCTGGGATCAGCAACTGGGCAAGATGAAATCGGTGAGACGATCGACGCTGGCGGCACAATGGCCTGATGTTGAGTGGATTGGAGGCTCTGATGGATGAGAATGAGAGTATGAGGGTCGAGCTCCATCAACACACACCGGATACCAGAGTGTGGGAGGCAGTACCCGTGGAGGTGGAACCCACGGCAGAAGGACAGCTAAGGCAGCAGATGGCAGTGACCGACGGCCTCCACAGGTATGACTACGTCTCCTTCCTGGGTGCTTCAAATGGACTCAGCAGAAAGGTGCGCTCCACGCTGGCTCACCTTCATGTGGCGCTGGGACACATCAGCAATGATAAGCTGGCCCGGATGATGTCACAGAATGGGGCGAAGCCGGTGGTTTTGCAGGCCATCAAGGACTTGGACTGCCAGATATGCAAACAAGTGGTGGCACCACACACCACCCCAAAAGCGGCCTATGCACGGCCCATGTCCTTCAATGTCCGAACATGTGCAGACACCTTCTATGTTTGGGATGCTAAGGCGACCAAATTTGCAGTCACCCACGTCCTGGACGCTTTCTCGCTCTACCAGATGGCGATTGCAACGGTGGACGCCTCGGCCCAAAGCACTGTGTCTCTGCTGAGGGATGGTTGGATCAGGGCTTTCGGCGCACCCAATGTGTTCATGACGGACCAGGGGCCGGAATTCCAAGGTCAGGTGGAAAGCCTTCTCCGGACCTTCAGCATCTACCACGACATGGTGCCGCCAAGCGCTTCCTGGCGGATGGGACTGGCAGAGAGGCATGGGTCCGTCTTGAAACTGTTGGTCATGAAGATCATCAAGGAGAAGACTATCATAGGCCTGGAGGAGGTGCAGACGGCGGTGGCCTCGGCGGTGGCATCTCGGAACCTACAGGCCCGAGTAGCAGGATTTTCGCCGGCGCAGCTGATCTTCGGCAAAGAGATGAGCCTGCCGGGCAACCTGATGGAGGCCATTGCCGGTCAGTTCAAGTTCCAGGTAGCCAACCCTCAGACCATGGATGAAGCAATCCATCGGGCGAGCTCGATCAGACGAGCGGCCACAGAGGCGTACCAGTGGTTGGAGGCGAGCGATGCATTGAAGAAGGCTGCTGGATCAAGGGCGAGGCTGCCTCGGTTAGAACTGCTGGTGGAGGGCTCGATGGTCATGTTCTACGAGCCGCCTGTGAGTCGTCGTGGACTGGCCCGCCGCTTGCAGGACCAAGTGTCTTGGGTGGGACCAGCCGTGGTGGTGGCGGTGGAAAGGTTCGACGGGGCGATCAAGCGGGTGTGGATTAGATACAGGCACAAACTTCGTGGACTACCTCTAGAGCATGTTCGATTGGCAACTGGAGATGAGATTGAGTCCACAAAGGTGACCAAAGAAGCTCTACAAGACCTGATGAAGAAACTCCAGTCGGGCAGAGTGAATGCAGACATTGCGCCTGAAGATGAGCCGGTACACTTGCCAACACCTGCCGATCCTGATCCACGGTACCCGCCTATGGAGTTCAGTGATGATGAACAACCGGCTGAGGACAAGCCCGTGCGAGTAGAGGATCTCCACCGTGCCACTTCCGTGTTAGATGACATACCCATTTCGGTGGCGCAGAAGATCAAACAGAAAGCAGATCAAGGGCAAGCTGATAGATCAACGAGACGCAAGCTGGATGCGGAAGCTTCGTCTATCAGGGCTACGGTGGCTTCGTCTTCGGCAGTTGATCCAGCTTTGACATCTGTCAGGCAGAAGCGGGACTTCTATGAGACTGCCTTTAAGTCGACCCAAGAGCACCTGAAGAAGATGAAGACGAAGCTTGAGAAAAAGGAGGCCATGGTGGTCGTGCCTGTCCGGGATTGCGAGCTCGTTGAAGAAGGGGGCGAGTCGGAGGTGCCGAACAGTGCAGACCCATGCTATAGCCCATTTTCGGAAGATACCAATGAGACTTCACCGTCAATGGACTCGCCATTCATTGAGGTTGACATGTTTGCGGTGCCCAATGTCTATGATGATCAGGGCAATCCCCATGAAGTCTCACATGATATGTACGTGGTGGACATGTTGAGGGAGTGCCCACCGATCAATGTTGACTATGATGTGCTGGAGGCTGACTGGCGACCTGACGGTGAGAGGAGGATCGGTATCCGGCGGAGGAACCCAACACCATGCATTCGTGCCAAAGTGCCTGTGGCCAAGTGGCGCACGCTGGGAGATGTTCCCGGAAGGCTTCGACGGCCTCTCACTCGTACCGAGATCATCGAGGTCTACAAGAAGGCACCTGGACGTGCTCAAGTGTTGGACGAACTCAGTGACTACATGGAAGCGAATTTGCCGGGTGAGATGTTGCTGCGGTTGAGCGGTGAGTCTGACTATTGGCTGCATGCGCCTTCGCAGCGAGAGCTATGGCGAGTGCACCTTCAACCTCGGCAGTACCTCTTTGTGCCGGGCGTGGTCCCTGATGAAGAACACCCACAAGATGCACAAGGTATTCCTTCTGAAGTACCTGGACTACAAGGGCTACGGGCGACTCAGGTGGGGTACCTGTCGCCCCAGGCGTCCAAGGAGTACTTGGTGGACAACATCAACTGGAAGGGCTGGAACGCTTCAGTGCATCTGAATCAATTGTCGCGAGGTGTCACTCGGTTCGTCACTATGGACCCCGTGAAGGACCACCCTATCTTGGCCACATGGAATCAAGGAAGAGCTGCTGCGGAAGATTTGTGGAGGAGGCATCTCAAAGCCAATGCCGCTTACCAGGTGTTGGTGGCTGAAGGGCAGGCGGCCGACTTTATTGCTCCGGCCGATGGACTACACGCTGACCAATCTCATCGGTTGGAGGTAGCCTTGGATGTGCTAGAGTGTTTTCAGGCTTTTCAGACAACTGCGGCCCTAGCTGCTCCAACCGCTCATCCCGACCATCGTGGTTTGACTGAGTTGTGCACAGCTGAGCAACTACTACTGGTTCTGGAAGGGGATGTGGAGAAACCAGAGACTGGAAAGATGCGGCTGGAGTTGCAATGGACGCAGCTGTCAATGGCTTGGCAGAAGGCTTTCGAACAACCGATCCTCGATGCTTTGCAGATCTACTTCGATCATGATGCCCTCGCTCCGGTGATGCCAGAAGAGGAAGTGCATGCATCCGAAGTGCTGCCAAGTCGATTTGTTCTCGTGAACAAGGCTGATCCCAAGAATGTACATCCTACGGATGAAGACTTGGCTCTGGCAAAGCTTAAAGCGCGGTTGGTCATTGCTGGACATCGAGATCAAAGGGCGGGTGACTATGCGACCGATGCTCCGACAGCTAGTCTAGTTGCCCACAACTTCCTTTGCTTTGTTGCAGCTCAATTTCGCTGGCGCATGTACTTTGCCGACATCTCCGCTGCGTTCCTACAAGGTGACTATCTTCCAGAGGGCCGGAGAGTGTGTGTGCAGTCACCTAAGAACTACCCGCTGTTTGTGCGCCAGTTCCTGCTAACCAAAGTACCTCCTGGGGCACGTACTGACCTCTTTCGTATGAAGAAGGCTGGGTTTGGGTTAGCTGAGAGTCCTCGACTTTGGTACCAGCGATTCAGCAGGGACATCATGAGCATTGGCGGCAAGGAGCTTCGATTGGCACCAGGCGTGTTCGCTTTCTATGACCCTGAAGGGCAGGTTTGGGCGATGCTAGCCGTCCATGTGGATGATGTCCGATTCATTGGAAGCGAAGAAGCTGAACAGAAGTTGTGGCCACAGCTCAAGTCCCTATTTACCTTTGGTGATTGGGTGCACCCGAAGGAGGACACCAAGTTCTGTGGCCGGTGGGAGAGGCAGAACGACGACTACTCGATCACCTTGCAGATGAACGAGTACTCGAAGAAGGTCAAAGATCCACCATCGAGGTCCAATCCACAGAGCCGACAGCCGCTGATGCCCAACGAGAAGGCCTGGATTGGGACCATCATTGGCCAGCTGAGCTGGTTGGCGAGGCAGGTGAGGGCCGATTTGCTGTATGGTTGTTCGAGGATTCAGCAACTGAATGGCACCAATGACCCGACGGCCCTCTCAGAGCTGAAGATCTTGGTGGAGAGAGCTCGGGAACCCCACTACCAAGTGTTTCGTCATTTGGGTTGCCACATCAACGACATGATGGTGCTGGCGGTGTCTGACGCTTCATTTGGGGGAATGCCCAAGGGCCGATCTCAAGGTGGCATGGTGCTTCTGGTGGCCAACCCTAAAGTTCTAGAAGGAGAAGCTCCGGTCAACATCCTGGCCTTTCACTCAGGTCTGCTGAAGCGCGTGGTGCGCTCATCCCTGGCGGCGGAAGTGTCGCAGGCGGCGGTGGCCATGGAGGAGGCAGACTTCTTGAGGGCTTTGATGGCTGAAGCATTGGAGAAGAACTTCTCCCTGAAGAACTGGCTCCAGTCGGTGGCCAGATGGCGCCAGGTAGCCGTGATGGACTCCAAGACTGGCTACGACTTGCTGAATGGCACATCGCTCGGAGAGGACAAGAGATTGGCCATTGACGTGGCTTCGATGAGGCAGGCACTTCATGAAGACGGAGGGTCTCGGATGGTGAGATGGGTTCCAGGAGAAGAGATCCTAGCGGACGACCTCACGAAGCTGGTGGGAAACCAGAAGCTGGTCACGGCCATGGAGGACGGCATGTGGGCGCTGAAGGATACTGAAGAGGCAAAACGCCTCCGAGCAGACGCCGCGGTACGAAAGCGTACCTACAGGCGGCGTCGGGCATCTGCTCCATAGGGGGCAGGTGTTATTCCGACAGCCCGTCGCGGCCCGAGAGCGGTAGGAAAAAGGAGTAGACCGTTGTGTCTTTTCAGTATTACTACTGCATTCTTGCTAGTAGTAACAAGAAGCTACTTTGTGCCAATGCTGTTCGCAGGTACATTCAAAGCAGGTTCTACCGCTCTCCAGAAGTGATTTTAGGGATTCCGCCGGCAGCTGAGAAGGGAAAAATCGCATTTTTTAAAGCCCACTCCCCCCGGAGTAAGCTAACTTTGACACTGCAGACGTGACAGCAGCCCACCCCACACTCAACTGAGGTATGACACTGCCATCGACATGTGGTCTTTCGGATGTATTTTGGCTGAGTGGGAGCCCTGGCCGAGTCTCTTTGACATGGCACAGCTTTCTGACCTCCTTGAGGCTCTACACAGGATATCCTCTTTTCCCAGGTGAGAATGAGGCAACGCCCGAGAGAGCGAGACCAGGAGACAGGCGAATGATAGAGTTGTTTGATCCGTTTTGTAAAGTGCTTGCAATGAATGACAAGTTCATGTTCAGCCGGAAACATCCGGAAACCCAACCATACATGCACATGCTCGGAATCACGTCTCCTTCTCCCCGAGGTGATTTGCTCATGTTTCTTCAGCCCTTGTGGTGGTAACATGTCCTCGGGAGCCTTGGAGGTTGAACAACTTGCTTGTATTATGGAGATCTTTGGGGCCTTGTCCTCGGTTCATCAATCATCCATCAGCAAGAGAGAGGTGCTCAGAAGATGCTTTGAGAGCATAACCGATGCTTCTAACACCTCCTTTTGCAGTGCGAAGCCGTAGGAGGTTCTTGACCACACGTCGAGCATGTCGGGAATGCTATCAGGTGCCTCCCATGAAGATCCTCGATGGAGCTCCAAGGATCAAGATGTGCAAAGCTTAGGATTTTCCCCATCGCTACTAGGGTCTTAGGTTGGAGGCCATCGCTACGTTCCTAGCAAGGACGCTACGAACGTAGCTTAGGATTTTTCCCAAGCTCCAAACCTGCTGAACCGGATCTCAAGAAGTGTGATCGTCCCCTGCAGAATGCTGGGAACCCTGATTTCGTTCAAGTTCGTTGACCGACTCCTTCGTCACTTTGTCCAAGTAACCTGTAACGTGACTTGCTGATCTCACAACTGATTTGACTTTGAAGCTGCTTGGCTCCAGTTGATTGCAAAGGCAAAGCCAAGAAGCTTGGGTAAACCTGCAGCCCTTTCTGAGTCCAGTGGCCCGGAACAAACAAGCTATGCGTAAGATCTCCGAAAGTTTAAGTAGATTTGCAGTGCTTGAGGGGCCTCTACGTGTTCCATAAGATGCTGAAGATGAAGCACAAGCTTGCGGTCTCCCAAAAAAGCAGCGGAAGGACGTCTAAAAATATCAGATAGACTGATAGACTGCAAAAAATACAAGAACTCACTGACTTGCTCTTCATGTGAAGGGCTTGAGAGTGCCTTTTTACGTTTTTTAGCTTCGCGATGTGCTCCCATGGAGAGTGACAGATGGTCAGCATGGTCACTCCTCAATGATGACGGTCACCTTATAGATGAACCCGCAATTCTGCCCGGGGACTGGTACGAACTGCTGCAGGGCGGTCAAGTGTTCACTGCCTTGCTCCTGAGCACCTCGTACTCTGAGCACCTTGGCACCAGTACCAGAGCACCGGAATGTCGGAAAAGCTGGAGGAGGATGGAGGGAGAGAGAACTCCAAAGTGGACCTGCAGAAAGTGCCGCATGCCGAAGCCAGTTGCGTGCCCTTTGTTACTAGTAGCTTCTTGTTCCTAGTAGCGATGCCAGGAGCCCCTAGTAGCGTCCTTGCTCCTAGTAGCGTCCTTTGTGAGGAAATATCGGGGTCGCCATATGCAACCCTTGGGATCCGCCTTCGCCGAGCGCAAAGAGGGTTCGATCGCACAGCTCCGGATACCCTCAAGGCGCTGCTTCCAGCGGCCAACCGGGAGATTCATGGAGAATCAATTATGGAATGGAGAGGGCACTTGTTACTAGTAGTAAGGCACTTGTTTCTACTAGCTTCTTGTTACTACTAGAAAGGCACTTGATACTAGTAGCGATGCACTTGTTTCTACTAGCTTCTTGTTTCAAATATGGAATGAAGAGGTTTGTGTGGCGATGGCCTTGTGTAGCGATGGCCTCCAAACTAAGAGTGATGGCCTCCAACCTAATGGCGAATGGAATTGAATGGAGAGATTTGGGTATGTTTGAGTTATGTTTGAGTTATGTCTTGTGAATGTGAGCAAGGCTCATTGGAAGACCTGTTTCTCTTCTATCCGATCGGCTCTTGCACCAAACGGGAAGAGAAACTCAACTGTGTAGTACCAGTTGACACAAGCGACTGTTCGACTCAGAGCCAGCTTTCAACTGTAGCTTGACGTGCCAGGGGTGGAGATGTTGCGTGGCACCCTTCATTACTGCACCGCTCAGGCAACCGAAGCTCGGAAGAAAAACAGGTCGCATTAAAACAAACTGTGGGCCACCCCATCTTTGATCTATTTAATTATGTATATTTATGTGACAGTTTGTCAAAGAATATTTATACTATTCATGTGACATATACTAACTCACCTGGGGGTAGTATATATGTTTGTTCTTGGTATTTCTGGGTGACGATTTTGGACGACACCTGGGGGATCCACTGCTGCATTTGCTCGAAAAGAATCGGACCCAATCGAGTTGAGTGATGAACCAAGCAAATGCCAAGGCCTGGGGATTGCACTAATGCCTGTGCCCGGTGGTTTGTGTGTTGAGTCTTTTGGTCCCTCCGCCAGCATGGAACCGCGGTCAGATGGTGTTCCAAGATATATGAGATGATACAAGAGATCATCCCCTGTCCAGTCCCCTATCCAGATGCTCCCCAAATATATGAGCAAGGATGAGAACGACACACAAGGTGGGACTAAACAGTTCAGCTCCGGGCAAGGTCATCCCACCGAGGGTCCGAGTGTTCTGGCGAAGTTTGTGCTTACTTGCCATGTGTCCACGTTATGCGCCAAACCGACGATTCGCTCAGGAGAGGCAGTTGCGTTCATTTGGGAGGGTGACAATGCCCATGGCGATAGCAGCCTGACGCAGACTCTTTTTGAGTTGAGTTCTGGATATTTCATTGACGTTGTTGAGAGTTTGACTACTTGGATGTGTGGAAAGCAAAGCTATTGGACAGAGGCACCAATAAAATGGTTGGCTGTCAGCTAAGGCACCATCTACGTTTGCTTCTCCCCTTTGCGCTATAGATCTCAGTTCTTGAGCCATTGCTGAGAAGTAGTATAGCTTCTTGTTGCTAGCAGCGATGGCCTCCAACCTAATAGCGATGGCCTCCAACCCAGTAGCGATGGCCTCCAACCTCCTAGCGATGGCCTCCACCCTAGTACGGGAAACATAAGTTCAGACGTGGTCAGACTGGTTTATCACCACTTCTTTACACATGAGCTCCGGTTGTCGCTGCCTATTGCTTGAGTCCACAACTATTCGTGTGAAAGTGATTTGCATGTGTAAAAAACGTGACCACTAGAAACTCAAACTTTAAAGACACTGGCTTCATCTCGTGTCTGACTTGATCTCGTCAAACATCCTTGGCGACCAAGGAAGATTTGTTGCGCCGGCTTGGCAAAGAACGGGATGAGCGCTCGCCGTGCCGCCCAGCAGACAGACGACTTGTCTGTAGGGCAGTGCCTTGGTGGTGCGCATCGCTAACAATTTTTGTCGTTTCTTTGATTTTTTTCGGCCCAAAAGGGCTTCAAAAGGGCGTGAAGTTCCCATTCTAAGCAGTGAGTTGATGTGAATTGGGGGTTTGGGAGATTTTGAGAAAACGTGTTGGAACTGTCTGTTGCCAGACCAGGGTGATGCTGCCAGTGTCCACCTACTTGAAGGTGAAGCTGGATGCTCGGTGTGGCCCAAAGGCTTTCCTTGGATTGAGCCGGGTCAATGGGTCATAATAACATACGAAACACTCCTTCAGGATCCTTCAGGCTACCATGTCGATTGTAGGATCAGACCCTTGCAGTCAGTACGGGACCATCCTCTCATTCGAGGACAGGCTTTGGGATCCTATGGGAGACCAGAGGCTTTATGACAAGCTCCTGCAGAGTGTCACTTGCTTCGAAGACTCAGCACGTTTGGGGCATCCGGCCGTGCGCTTGAGAAGGATTCGACCACATGAACCTGACTGAAACTGACAGTATGGGGCATGGCAAATTGTTGTCAAACCTGGCCGCTGGCTGAGAGTCTCAAGCTGTCAACCCCTAGTAGCGTCCTTGCTCCTAGTAGCGATGCCAGGAGCCCCTAGTAGCGTCCTTGCTCCTAGTAGTAAGGCCACGAGCTCCTAGTAGCATTTTTGGACCGGCTGTTTTAGCTGAGCTTTGCGCTTAGAGAAAGCAACAGCGCAAAGTGCGGAGTTTGTGGCCTCAGGTACAAGAGCTACGCAGCCACCGAGTGCCGCTTGGCAACTTTTAGCGTGTGAGGTTTACTAGTTCTCTCATTGTGTACAAACCGATGTAGAGACAGAGAGGACTAGTACAAGATAAACAAGAAGAAAATAAGAAAAGAAGAAAGATTGAAAGATTAGAAACCACTGGACAATCCTAGTGGCTGAGGATCTTCTCCGGCATATCGCATGGGGCAGCACTAGCACAAGCTGCCGCCCTGAAGTTTCAGATACAACAGCAGGACGGATGGCATGTGGAGAGAAAGTGAATCAGTCTTTAACTCACCCGCTTCTAGATTCGCACCAGACCAGAGAAGAAACAAACAACATACGGGTAATTAAGAATAAAGAATAAGATAGAGGCAAGAAGTGTGTAACTCTTTACAGGAAAACCAGGCAGCTTGGAAACTCTGTGTTCAGGAGACGAAAGTCTTTGTTGTGACCTGGAATGCCTACAGGCTGGGCCAAATATTTCCTTGCTTTCCAAGAAATCCAGAAGCGCAATTGTTCCTTTCGTTTGCCTGTGGACAAATAGACGAGGCTGGAAAGCTGCTGCCTGCATAAAGTCAAAGTATAAATAGCACAGATGGAAGCACATGACTGCTAGTGTCTACTTGCTTTGTTCGTACTGCATCAGCTCACCTATTGATACATCATTGGCTTGTCTGTTATGACCATAACTATGAAAAGACAAACCGGCACAAAGACACGTAACTGCTTCTCCTGCAAGTTTCTCGTGGTCGAAAGGTGTTGCGCACCGCTGCATAGAAAGCGACTGCTGGGCTTTGAGCACATAGTTTACAACTTTCCTCCTTTTCTGTTGTCTTTGTTTCTAATAGCAATGGCCTCCAACCTAAGAGCGATGGCCTCTAGCAAACTATATTAAGGCAAAAAATACTCTAATGTGTTCTTCCATGTTTTTCCTCCTTTATATAGTTCGGAAGGGACAAAGACACCAAAGACTTTGTTTTGCAAAAGGCACTCTGTGTGTTTTCCTCGAATGGTAAATCCTTGCTACTGGTATGAGCAGCTAGCACGTTTACTACGAGCTTCTTAGTTTATCTCCCTATTACGTGGCTTCTACAATCCCCGCCCCGCCTTCTCTTCACAAATTCCTCCACCCTTACCCCCAAAATTTAGAACGTCCTTTTGCTGGAAAATCCACGTCAAACTACGTTTGCTTCACCAGGTGGACCGACGCCAGTGGCCGGGAAGCGGCGGAGCATTTCCTGGGCCAACGTGGCTTAGACCTAAAATCAACAGTTCCACAAAGAAGAACGGATTAGATGATTTAAAGCAGGATGGGATGAACCAACAGTACGTGCAGCACGACAACAGGTATGAGCGGGTATGAATGAACCATGAGATGAACCAAAGCAACAAAAAGCTATGAAAACTATGAAAACGGATGGGGGAAGGTTGGGCAGGAACAAGATTCGTTGAATATGTTATGTTTTAATTTGATTGTGCGCCTCTAAGCAGGGTTCAATGTCCTCCCAAAGCTCAGCAGGGTGCGCAATCCATGTCCCTGACAACATAGGACGACCGCTAAATCGCGGTGGCTTCCTGTTGCCTAACGTTTCAGCCTAATGTTTCAGCCACAGCTTCAGACGCGCCTTCAGTGATGCTCAATCTCTTCCCTTGGCCAGTTGCAATCAGATGGTAGGTTTCGGTTGGATGGGTACCTGCAGTGATAAATTGCCAGAGGATCTACTTGTCAAGAGAAGATGTTAGGGGAACGCTATGGATGAAGTGCCTTGCCTGCTTGAGGAATGCTTCACTTTGTCCTGTCGAGGAGGGAGATATACCAGGCAGATGTCCTTGGTGAAGTCTCACCACAGTAAGATGAATGCGTGAAACGTGAATCTCTCAACTGACAGGCCAACCGGTACTGGGACAGTGTTACCGGCTTTCCTCGAGAGCTCTCTCCGATGCCCAACTCTGTGCTGTTAGATGCAGATACAGGCTTTGCTGAGTGCTTTGCTGTGCTTCTGTGCTTTTGAAGCCAGACTGTGTCACTTCTCGCTTTCTCGCTTTCTCGCTTTCGCTCACTTGCTCAAATCCCACCAACCAGGTCGATTCTACAAGCACACAGATCCTGAGCAAGGCTCACAATTTGGTTCAGCGTTCCTGATGCGCATGCAACTCGCATGAAAGGTTTCAAAGGACACTCTTTGAAGCAAAGTTAGAAGGGAACAGCATTGCTGCTCCGACTAAGGTTTGAGCTGCATTTTGCCAGGCAGCCGGCATTGCCATGTGACTGTTTTTCATGTTTGAATCTCATGCTGCATCAGGTCCGCATTAGGCGCCATAAAGAAAGCAACAGCGAATTCTGTTGGCGAAGAGTCATTGGTGCATGAAGTGCCTTGGAAGAAACCCGCAAAAGGCCATGGCATGCCATGGCCGAAAGTGGGTAGTTGACGCAGTCAAACAAAAGCAGTTTGCATGTAGACCTGTTGTCCATATGAAGGAACATTTCAGAACGACCTTTGGGGTTAAGATCAGCTAAGGAGTACTTGCTCAACAAGCGGAAGGGGACCTAGTTTGTAAGCGTGGGGTTGTTTGCTGTTTGTGGAGTGCTGTGTGCATTGGTGTGCATTTGTTTCACAATTTCGGACACAGCATTGTTTAGGTTGGAAGCCCTGCAGGAAAGGTTCTTTAACAATGCTCAGAAGGCCGAGTTCCGAAGCAATGGGTCAAATGATGCCAGAGATTTCCTTCGAGAGGAAAGACAGATAGACGATGATAGAAGTATACAGAAGTCATAGGGTGGAGGCCATCGCTACTAGTAGCTAGGACGCTACTAGTAGTGCATTTAGAAGTCATAAGATTGGCTTGTGCCGATGACTTGGACTCCTTGATCCTTTCGCAGGTGGCCAAAGCTTCCCACAAAGCACAAGACTTGCTGCGCAAGCGCACCTCCGGAGTGCCTTGAACAGAAGGCTTCATCAAGTCGCAAAGAATGGACTCTGTAGGCTTACTACATGAGTTATATAAGTTGTTATTTTTTATATGTCATATTTTACTTGCTCAGCTTAGAGAAGAGATGACAGACCACTAACCTTTCTATCCTTTCTATGATGAACAATTGACAACTTGTTGGAGCAAGAACCCTCATACAACCATCTTCGGAAGGCTCCTAAGGGACCATTGCGCTTGTTTCAGTTTGGAACACCACGGTTTGTTGTGCATGGGTGCACAGTGACGAGGCGGGGGTACCTGCGGTACCTGAGTGATATTTGGCGATCACGGCGAAATCATTGCAGATGACCCTCCCCTAAAAGAAAAAAGACAACAATTCAAAGGGAACGTGATAGAAAGGGAACCTAATAGCGATGGCCTCCAACCTAATGGCCTCCCCCTTCGCCGAAATCCATGGCCAAACAGTCAAGTTGTGCCTGCAGCATCTCTGCTGAGGTATATAGCAGGCAGCTTGACAGGCCCCAGCAGAACCATGCAAAATGCGGAACGGCTTGCTTTGGAATTTCAGCTGGTTGCAAGCTTTGCAAAGGTTCAACATTCAGAGATTCGACTCTTCGACTCTATGCTCTATTCTCAGCCGTTTGGCCGGAACCAATGTCATGAGTCATGAATGTGTGGAGTGAACAGGAAGATTAGTGACATCCATAGCGATAGTTTCTCCTTTGGCGGGTGCCAACAAACAAAACATCCGGTAGAGCGCGTTGCCCGCATGGTCTTCCTGGGCTTCATCCTGCAGCTGTGGCAGTTGGCAACAGCCTCGCGTAGTGCCGAGGCTGATGAATCCGCGTTGTTGAGCTATGCCGTGAGCCATACTCCGAACTCACCCACTATCGCTGTCGTGGCCGGATGCATTCCGGAGGACCCTCACTACAGCATGGTTTGTCCCATTGCAAAAGAGAACTTTGCAGCCTACGTGGACTATCAAAATGCCTTGAAAACGCGAAATGAGAAGCTTCGGAGTGAAGAGGAAGCAGCAGAAGCTTTAAGCATGGAGACCAAGAAGTATGCTTACAAGCTATTCTGGTTTGACGCCAAACCAACTGGGGCCGAAGATCGTGTCGCCGCGTGGTCCAAGGTCCCAGCCTTACAGGCAGCTTTGAAGGATCCCGATGTTCATTTTGCCTTCTGGATCGACAGCGATTCGCTCTTTATGAACTTTGATGAACGATTGGAACACTTACTCCCCAACGGTGAGAACCATGTGTCCTTCAGTGGAGGGCCCTTCTGCTTCTTGAACGCTGGACATATGATGTTCAAGAATGATGCTTGGACAGAGACTTTCCTGAAGGAAGTCTGGGAGACTTATCCAGCACCAAGGCCTTATGAAGAACAATCTGCGATGGTCTACGTCCTGTGGAAGCATTCATCACCAGAGAAAGCTCGAAAATGTCGTGAGAAGACGGTGATCTTGCCCTATTCGCCCTTAGGATGTTGCAATGGCACTGGGATCTTGGGTGCTGAGATGCGTGCGTTCAACGTGATGAATGAAAATGCGGGGTCCTTCCAACCCGGACATTTCCTTTTGCACTTTCCAGGCAAGCCAGAGAAGAAAGCTCAACGAATGGCAGACTACTCAAAGCGGGTCTTGAAGCCTAGCGAGTCCATTAGCTTGCTCAAAACTGGCAAGCCCAGGATGACACTACAAACGGGCCAAGAAGTCTTCGCTACGCGTGCGAACAAGAATGGTCACGAGTGGTAAGCATCAGCTGACATGAGGCCTCAGGATTCGTGAAGTTTCTACACTACAGTTTTGGAGGCACTGACCATAAGAGTTCAGTCCTCATGCCCCTGCGGCCATAAGAGTCAAGCAACTTTGGAAAAAAGAGCACTGGCAGAGGGAGTCTCAACTCAAGGACCAGGCAGCGAAGACATCCAACTTTACCAACATAGACCTTTGATGCCCTTTTTCATCCTTTGTGTCAGGCAATCCAGAACAGAGGCAGGAATTGGCCAAAAAACAGAAAAGTCAGTCGTTCATCGGTACTTTGCAGTAATTGGTTCTGGTACTTTGGACTTTTAGGCTCTTTTTAGGACTTCCCCTGAGCTTCCAAGCTGCCGGATTTTCTAGGTACAGTTCAAACCATATCCATGTAATGAAAATGGTGACCACCGTCCCACGAACGGCGCGAATGGAATCCTGGCAGCACAAATTTCGAGCATCGTGCACGATCGTCCATCATCGTGTCTCGTGCTGTTTCTTTGCGATCACTCAGTGCTGCCACTCCTAGGAAGACACGCGGAGCAAGCCTTAGTTGGAAACAAAGCTGTCATTCAATGTCACAGCCACAGCTATGCCATGCTATGTATGCATTTGAGGTTTGCACAAAAGTTGCAGGGCATATCAGGGCTCTGGTGTTGTGCTCCTTGACCCTTTGCAAGCACCGATGTTTGTGGAATGCTCTGAGGATGGCTGGTTCAAACGACTGGCTTGGTGCTGCTCTTCTCAGTGAGCTTGACCAAGCGCAGTAGCCACCAAGTTGACTTTGGAGCCGAAGAAACTGGAGAAACTCCCCATTCATTCAAAAAGGCGGTTTCCCTTCGGTTGAACGAACTGCCTTTGCGTGACGACGCGCATTCTGGTTGCAGAACACAACACAACAGCAAAGACTTTTGCAAATGATGCCGGCATTTTTGGGGAAAATCCTCCTGAAATGCGAAGTTTTCTACGTCCCTTTGTGACGGCAAAAAAGACCGACAGCTGAGACGAGCGTGTCGAAACGCTTTGCGGACGGCTGAGACGAGCAGCGCCCAGGTTCTTCGATTCCTCAGGAAATCCTCGTTTAGTGCCCAACAGCCGTGGAAAAATCCGGAAGCCTGGCGCCAAGGAGCAGATCTAACAGAGTGTTTGAAGAGTGTTCCGTGAAAAATCGAACATGAGTCTAAAAGACCTAAGGCCTCGACGAAAATGAAAGAAAGGTCTTTCGAGTCTCAAGAAAGAAACAAAGAAAGAAAAGAAAGCAGCTAGGGGTAGTTGAGTCTAAGACCTGAGGGACCATAAAGTATTCATAGCGTCTTGCTCCAGGAGCTTCAGTCAGTTCTGCGGACCTCTGAAGCAAAGTGCGCCCATCGGTGTGGCGCGAAACAGGTCATTTACGAAACCCCCACATCTCATAGCCACAGGTCATGTAGAGAGTCTGGATGTCAAAGATGAAGATCGCAATACTTGCTGCTGTTTGATAAACTCTTGAGCTCTTGAGAGGTTTGTGGACTTTTTACTGGGCTGCTTGCCCGAACCCCAGCAAGCCACAGCCACGACGTTTTGCATA